GGGGCGGGCGGGGAGGGGCGCTCCGGACGGCAGATGCGCTCGGCCGCCGCCCGCCGGGCCCCGGCGCCCCCCGGGCCTCGGCCCTGCCTGCTTGCCTGCCGGCCGGCCTGGCCCGGCCTGGCCCGGCCCGGCCCCAACGGCCGGCCAAGCCGCGTGCCGGCCCTCCGCGCTCCCGGGGCTTTCCACGATGCATCGCCCCACATCCCGCGCCGCCGCTGGACTGCAAGGCTCATCATTCGCAGCCATCAGGGCAAGGCCGCCGGGGGCCACTGGGCTGGGGAAGGGCTCTCTGATGAATCTTTTGTGTGTCTGCGGTGGCACTTCGGCCTTCCCTCTCCTCCCCTTCCTTCCTCTCTCTACGCTTCTCCATGCGCTTTTTCCTGTGCACGATGACAGCCACACGCTGATCTTTACAACACAAACCTGCGGACGAGACACCAAAACACAGCGCCAGGAGGGACACACGCCCTCCTTTAAACCTGACATCTCCTGAGTAGCGAAACGTTTGAATTCTGTCAAACAACAACGGATCTATTTTTTCCTCCTTTACATTTCTGTTGCGATTATTTTAAAACCTTTCTAGTCCTCATGGCTTTACAGTAACATGAGTGGAGGCAGAGGGTAACCCTGGGGCTTCCCGCTCCGCCTGCTGTCAGAAGGTAGGTAGTACCAGGGTCTAGCAACCCTCCTGCCCTGTCTTCGCCCCACTTTCTGCCACCTTTCCTGAGCTGGGCGTCCTTCGTTCTGGACCAGGGCCGGTGTAACAGGCTTTGAGGGACCAGCCCGGAGAGAGAGCGTTGAATGTTGGCCTGGCCGGTCTTACAGGGTGCGGATGATAAAGTGCGAATCCACCTGCGTGTGCCCTGCGTGACACACACACCCACACACCCGTGAGACCTCAGGCTTCCACCCTGCTTTGTTAGAACCGGTCTGCCCTGGGCTCGCCTCTCCAGCGCTTGGCATAGCCTACCTCCTGCTGTCTTGCAAGGGGAACCAGTGAGTTGAAAGTGCTTTGAGCCCCCGGTTATATTCCGCTCTACACACCCCTGAGCGTGTGGGAAGGTCACATTTCCCTAAGGTGCAGCAATTCCGCTGGTTGTATCTACGTCGGCATACGCCAGGCAGGGCGAGAGCAGGCTGGTGTGCCTTGCAGTGTTGATTGCACACCCCCGGGTGTTGTTACGCCCGTCTCACAGGTGGGAAAAGGGGCGGCAAGCGCGTGCCCCGAGCCCAGCGGTGCCTTGCTGGAGGGCCCGTCGCAGGGCTTCCGCCATTTACCGGGTCTGGTGGATTCGCCCTGTTTGGGCAAGTGAAAGCTGAGGCCCCAGCTGAGCAGCTGCTCCTGCGCCCGGGGAGGAGATGCCGGCTGCCTTTTCGATTTTGGCGAAAGGAAGTGCGTATATATTTGGCATTTTGTTACCGAAAGCTGAGTGGAAACAACGAAAGAGTCAGCAAGCCAAGCGCTGGCTTTCAGAAAGAGTCCCCGGCCCGGCGCAGCCCGCTGTCTTCCTGTTGTGGGCAGGGTGCAGCCTGCAACTTATGCAAAAGAGCGTTTTTCCGCTGCGCTTGTTCATCGAAAGGGCCCCGCGCCCGCTCCTGTTCTCTTCTGGGTCCTCTTAATGCAGGTGCCGGTGGAGGGTGCCTTCGGCTGTAATGGTTCCAGGGGTTTCGGGTCAAGGCAGGAGGCCTCTAACCTGAGCCGCGAGAGTTTTGCAGAGATGGGAAATTGTGCCCCAGCAGCCCAGCCGCCTGCCCGCCACCTCTGGCCGGCTGCGAGGGCTTCCTGAGGTGTCGAGCGGAAGAGGGCCCTCCGGCGCCCCCCTCAACCGGGCCCAGAGCAGCTCAGACTAGCACCTGGGGCGCGCCGGTGACGGCACACTGCCACACCTTGGGTTTGCCGGGGCCGCGGGGAGTCGTGCGGCCGGGGCCGTGCTGCGCTCGGCTGGTGGGTGCCCAGGGTTGTGCTCATGCGGGGGCTCCCGTGGACGGGCTTTGTGCTGCCCCCTGGCCCAGGAGGCACCTGGCTCCACAGCGAGGGGGAGACTGGGGGTTCGGCCGCCGGGCACGTCTGTCTCCGTCCTGCACGCTGCGTTCCCCTCCGCAGGCCGGCTGCCTCTCTCCTGCCCAGAGGCAAAGTGCAGCCTTTTGAGGACGGCTCAGCCGTACGGGGCGCGTGGTGCCGTCGCGTCCTTTACGTGGCTGCTCTGAGCGCCCGCCCTTTCCGAAGCAGCCCACACGGCCTGCCCCAGGCCTCAGGCAGCGCCCAGCCTGCCCGCCGTCCCTGGCCTGGTGCACAGAGACAGAGGCGGGCGGCAGCCATGGTCTGTCCAGCCCGAAACCAGGCCGGCTCGCAGAGGAAGCCTCCCTGCAGCCGTGAGGGCTGCCCCGTGGCCAGAGCCCCTTGGCGCTGGAGGCTGGACGACCGGGAGGGCTCTCCGAGGCGGGGCTGCACGGAGGTGCCACGGCCTGCCCTGGGCAAGTGGCTGGCTCGCGGGACCTGCTCCCAGCGTCCACGGTGGGGTTGAAGCGGAGGCCACGAGCCACCCTTGGGGCCTGCGCGAGGAGCAGCGGAGCCTGGAGCAGGCCGTGTGGTGCTCGACGTGGTGGCTTTGTGGTTTTCCTTCCGCCGTGCTCGCTCGCTGGAGCCGTCGCCCGTGCGGTTGGTGCCTCGCAGAGAGCAAACAGGCCCAGCAGGTTGTAATTCTTCATGGGAGGGCAAAGGGTGGCAGAGGGCAGGGGGCATGGGCATTTCTGCCGCGTCCGGGTTCCCCGGGTGCCTGGTACGGATGAGAGGCGTCTGCTGGATTGGGGCCCACTGGGGAAGCTGGGTGGCCTGGCCGCTTCTCAGCCCCCAAAAACAGGAGCAAGGAGAACAGTGGGGTGCAGAAACATCATGCACAAAGGGAGAGGTGCAAATTTAGAAATGACTGTTAGGATTTAATAATTGCAACCGAAGTAGAATCACGGTGTGTCTCCGCGTGGGGCCAGCCGACCCACCCGCTGCTCTGGCACCGGCCCTTCTTTGCTCTCTGTGCGTGAGCCGCTCTCGAACGGCACCTTGGGAGCGCGCTCTCTGGGCCGGTGCGGCTGCCCAGCCTGCCACGTGCTGGCCCTGGTCTGCGTCCGTGACCTTATGCTTCTGCTTGCCCCCAGCCCCCCGCCGAGGATCCCCTCCCGCCCGCCGAGAGGAGCCGGCCGCAAGCGAGCAAGAAAATGGACTTCCCGGGGCGAGGTGAGTGCAGCGCTGAGAGCGGCTTCTGCCGACCACGCCGCTGGCGGGGTGGGCTGATGAATGTTTGATGGGGCTGCCCCTTCGCAGCCCCCTGGCCCCAATGGGCGCATTAATATTTGATCACGCGCAAAAGCTATAAGAAGCCATTTAAAGTCTGGCTGGCCAGGGCATTAGAGCCCAGCCGAGACTCCAGAGCAGGCGGGGGGCGTGCGGGCGGCTGGCTTTGCTGCCGGGAGCCGCGTCCAAGCCAGGGTACCGGCCCTCATCCGAACGCGCGCCTCTCCCCACTGGCCACGCAGTGGCATCCCGCGCACTGCCCATGGTTTCGGCAAGCGCCCCGCCTACCCTCCCCCGATGGGAGCCGCCGGGGCCTCCCCTGCCCGTGCCCCTGGAAGCCGCTTTGCAGGCCTGATCCGGGGGGGTGGCTGCGGAGGGGTGCGAGGGGCCATGCCGCAGGGCTTGCCACGCCGCCGGTTGCAGCCACGGCTCCCCTGAGCGAGCAGCCGCCTCCCTCCCAGCCGCGCGGCCCCGCTCCCCGGCCCAGCTCTGATCAGCCGCGTTCTCCCTCCAGGGAGCCTCCAGCTCAGCCCGTCGTCCGGCGAGCGTTGAAGGCGGCGTGAGCACCTCCGGCCCGTGGACCCATGCGGAGGGGGCGAGGATGCGGGTGACGATGCGGCGGGTGCTTCTGGGCGTGGGCTTCGCCGTCGCCCTGATGGTCTCTGCCCACCTGGGGCAGCAGATGCTGCAGTGCCAGCAGATGCTGGGCCGTGGCGCCAGTCGGGGCCTGATGCGCCCCGAGCACGAGGAGCTGGTGATGCTGGACTCCAGCCGGGTGGAATACCGCTATAGCAAGGAGATGCCCCTGATCTTCATCGGCGGCGTCCCCCGGAGCGGGACCACGCTGATGCGGGCCATGCTGGATGCGCACCCAGAGGTGCGCTGCGGGGAGGAGACGCGCATCATCCCCCGCGTGCTGGCCATGCGCCAAGCCTGGTCCAAGTCCGGCCGGGAGAAGATGCGCCTGGACGAGGCCGGCGTGACGGACCAGGTGCTGGACGCCGCAATGCAGGCCTTCATCCTGGAGGTGATCGCCAAGCACGGGGAGCCGGCCCGGTACCTCTGCAACAAGGACCCCTTTGCGCTCAAGTCGTCCCTGTACCTGTCCCGCCTCTTCCCCAACTCCAAGTTTCTCCTCATGGTGCGGGACGGGCGGGCCTCCGTCCACTCCATGATCACGAGGAAGGTCACCATCGCAGGCTTCGACCTCCGCAGCTACCGAGACTGCCTGACCAAGTGGAATAAAGCCATCGAGGTGATGTATTCCCAGTGTCTGGAGATCGGGCGGGCCCGGTGCCTCCCCGTCTACTACGAGCAGCTCGTGCTGCACCCGCAGAAGTCCATGCAGGCCATCATGGAGTTCCTGGACATTCCCTGGAGCGAGGCGGTGCTGCACCACGAGGACCTCATCGGGAAGCCGGGCGGTGTCTCGCTGTCCAGGTGAGTGCCGCTCTCGCGCGCCGGCGGGACCTCTCTCGGCTAGCGCTCTTCTCAGCCTGCACCCCACCTTTACAGTGGCCGGAAAATTGGATTTTTAAATGGAGCAGGTGCCAAAACCCCAAACTAGGCTGCTACGCCGCATTTGCATCCAGAGTTGCTGAGCCTCCTCACCAGTCCATCCAGGGGCACCTGCCCTGCCCCCCCCCCCCACTGCACGCTCTCGCCAGCCGCTCACAATGGGCACTGTCGGGAAGCACAGAGCAAAAGCCACGCAGGGCGGAAAGTGGGGGTTCGGCGAGGAGGGCCTCCGAAGGAGCCCGGGGAGGCGCGAGATCATCGGCCTCCTCCCTCTCGCCCTCCTGCAGGATCGAGCGGTCCACCGACCAGGTGATCAAGCCGGTGAACCTGGAGGCCTTGAGCAGGTGGCTGGGGCACATCCCCGCGGACGTGCTGCAGGACATGGGCCACATCGCCCCCATGCTGGCCAGGCTGGGCTACGACCCCTATGCAAACCCGCCCAACTACGGGAACCCAGACCCTCTGGTGGTCAACAACACCCACAGGGTAAGTGCGGGCGGGCGGCCGGCCAGGCCCGTTGCGTGGAGCCACCCGGCCTGGCCGCTGGTCCAGGGCCCAGCGGGAAGTTCACCCTCTGCCGTGCTCGGCAGCTCAGTGTAAAAGCCTTCTGCACGAGAACGCGGCCTGGAGCGGCCGAGACGCACCGCTAAGCTCCGCCTGCCCCGCGCTCACCTCCGGACAGGAGGCCAAGCGGCCCCGCTGTGGCCCCACGGCAGGGACGCGGGAGGGGAGACTCGCCATGGGGAGCCTTGCCCTCCACTTCAGCTTGATAGCAAACACTGAACCGGGGGACGTGTCTGACTTCGTTTGAATTCATTGTGTTTCTCTGCCCCCCAGAAGGTGGAGCTCTCTGGGCAGGTTGCAAAACTAAACTGCAGAAACAGAGTGAAGAGATAGAAAGATATTTAAGTGTAAGAGAGGCTAACGGCAGAATAAAAGCCGGCAGCGGTGCCGGGATCAGTGCAGGCCTGCGCCACGTGTCCCACTGCAGCTGAGGAGGCGCCGCCGTGGCCCTGGAGCCGTGCCGACCGCTCCCCCGGCAGCGCCAGCCCTTTCGTTGCCGTCACTGCTTGCACCGAACACGGGCTCCTTCCAGAGCAGCCTTTCCAACCCTGAGGCCCTCCAGCCTGTCGAACTGCAGCTCCCAGGCTGAGCCGCTCATGCTGGACATTGTAGTCCAGCACAGCTGGGAGGCCCCGAGGTGTGGGAGGATACGGGGCTCTTGGTGGGCCAGGCGTGCTGGCAGGCGTGCCCAGCGCTGGACCCAGAGTGGCCCTTGGGTGGGCGACGGCAGCGCCAGCTTGCGGGGCATCCTCCTGCCACGCTCTGAAGGACGGGCTGTGCCACGCGTGGGCTCGGCCTGCGGGGCCTTGGCAAAGCGGGGGGCTGGGCAGACACACAGTCACCGCGAGCTTTTCTTTGCTCAGGTTCTGAACGGGGATTTTAAGACGCCTGCCAATCTGAAAGGACACCCTCAGGTATGTTTCAGGCTCTGCTTAGGGAAACTACCTGGGCACACCCACTCTTTTGCCAGTCCTTCCCTGACGCTCTGGCTGGGGGTGCTGGTCTTGATCTCTTCAGGGGAAAGGAGAAGCAGGCCCAGTCATTTTAAGCCACCCCAAGGCCGAGCTGCCTGGGCAGTTAAAAGCACTGCCATCGTTCTTGCAGCGAAGGATACAGAAGTGGCGGATCACTTTGGCTGATGGAACCAATCAGACAAAAACCCAAAACCCAAGAAACATGGCAATATATTTGTCAGACTAACTTTTTCCCTCCCCGGCCCCTGCTAAGAATTCCAGGCACCCAAAGGCCACGACTTTGATCCTGACTCTTCCGCGTGTGTGTTTGTGTGTTGTAGGGGACTCAAAATACTACTGCTTTTCACTGACGAAGCTAGCAATTTCCAGGTAAGCACCTGGGCGTGTGAATGTGGGAGCCGGGCTCATTTCTTCCCCCTCCAGCAGCCGCCCTTAAGCCGATGGAGCTGGGGAAGGGGCTGCCTGGAGGCTTTGTCCCGGGACCCCGCCCAGAGGGAGGCGATGCAGGCAGCGTCCTCCTGCGGGGCCGCGTCATGCCCGTCCACAGCTTCTGCTTCCTTCCTCTTTGTCCCCGCTAGATGCAGACTGCCTTTCCTTGTTCTGAAGAGAAGACAACGTGCAAACTGCAGCACTGGAGATCTGTTATCCAAGCATATTGCTTGCTACTGATATTGCCAAATCGAGTGCTCTCTGTGGATCATTTTGGAATCTTTTTTCCCATTTATTTGCCAAGTTTGGACATTCCAGCGCCCAAGAGGACAAGCCGGCTACTTCGCTTGGACACATTCTGTGGTAAAGGGTGACTGTGGAAATGGAAGGGATCCCTACAGTATTCCAGAGGAGATTCTCTGCTTGTCAACTGGGCATCTTTTCGAAGCTCTGTTTAAAAGTGTCTTGTAATTTTTGTTCTCTTACAGACCTCAGATAGTTCTATTAATATAATCTCATTACAGTGCTTTTGTCTTACAAGTGACAATCCCACACTCTCCTCCTTTAATTATCTTTTATTTGTAATTTACAAAGTCAGATAGATTTATTTATTAATTCGTAAATAAATATGAAGCTGTCTCCTTTACGTCTTGCGTTGCATCATTTTGCCTGAATTTCGTTTGGGCATTCAGAAAGTCCGGCGTGTGCTGCTCATGAGGGCTGCTTCTCTCAATCATCTATCTGCTCGGCATATGATTTCAGTCTCTAGAACAGAGCCAGCATGAACGCCTTTCCAGGTTGAAGGTGCACCTGTGGAATCGGGAACTAGCAGTTTCCGTTAGATCGGAGCGGTGCGGCTCTCCCGTCGCTTTACAGCCCTCCTCTGCCGCTCCCTGCACGCATGCGCACACGGACACGCCCGTCTCCCCTCCTATGGGCGACACTACGATGCACGCTGAGGCAGAGCCTCCGTTCTCAGCCCGAAAGCCAGCTTCCCCAGCCTGGTGCCTTCCAGAGATGCTGGATTACAGCTCCCATCATTCCCTTAGATCTCTCCCTTACATCTGAACCGGGCTATCTTTCTCGGGCTAAGGATGATGGGAGCTGTATTCAGCACATCTGGAGGGCACCAGAGGAGAGAAGTCTGCCCAGGAAGGAAAGGAAACAGGGCACTCTGCACGTGCTCAGGAGCGCCCGGCTCCCCGCTCGCCGCCCTTCCGCGGCTCAGTCGGAGGATTCCACCGCGGAGGACGCGGCGCGGCCCTACAGTCCGCCCGAACCATCGAGAAGAAAGGCAAGAGCGGAGCGCTGGCTGCGCGTCCCGCCGTTTCCTCTTCCGGAGTGTGGCCACGTGACGCATTGCGCAGGCGCAGTAGCCGCAGCGCGCCGTGGAGCAGCCCGGCAGCGGTCTTCGTTTCCGGTGCGACTGGCCGGAGCGGCGGTGGGTCAGTGTCGGCGGGGCCGGGGTGGCTGTCGCTGCGGCAACCAGGGGCGAGCAGGGGGCCGAAGGGGAGGGGGACGTCGGGGGCGAAGGGGGCTGGCGCGGCGCGAGGGGCGGCGGAGAGGCGCGGGCGGGGGGCAGGTCGGGGGGGGGGGGGGGGCGGGGGGGGGGGGGGGCTGCCGGGCCCGGCCCTCACCTGCCCGCCCTCTGCCCTCCAGGCGTCATGTCGCTGTCCCACTTGTACGGCAAAAATGAAGCCGTGGTGGAGGACGACGACGTGGAGATGGAGAAGTTCGAGATCACCGACTGGGATCTCCAGAATGAGTTCAACCCCAACCGGCAGCGCCACTGGCAGACCAAAGAAGAGGCCACGTACGGCATGTGGGCTGAGCGTGATTCTGATGACGAGAGGCCCAGCTTTGGGGGCAAACGGTATGGGCATCCCCCGTCCCGGTGTCCTGGCCATTCTGATCTGCGTGTCCTTTTTCCAGATTTCTGTATGCAAGTTTGAAATAGCGTTAATCCGGAAACAGAGCAGAGAGTCATCCATAGAGGATGACACAGTTTACGTTTAACAACAACAACAATATCAAGTTTTTGATGCAAGCATAGGCATACTGCTGAATTTGCATGCTGCTGCCTCTAAATATGAGTTAATTGGACTGGTGGAGTAGACGCTAGTTCCTGGCGTGCTTGATCAGGGGACAGCAGGTTCACCTCTGAATGCTTCTTTATAAGAACCACGGCTGAAAACAAGATGTGTTTTTTCCTTCCTAATGCAGGTCTCGAGACTACTCTGCCCCTGTCAACTTTATCAGTGCCGGGCTGAAGAAGCCAGCGGGTGATGAGATAACGGATGAAGATTCTGATGAGGATGAGAAGCCTGTGAAGCAGGAGGAAATTCCCAAGGAGTTTGTGCCAAAGAAGTTAAAGACCGTGAGTTGCTTTTGTTTTGGTATTAAGTCATTGTCAGTTCTTAGGGGTTCTGGAAGGAGTTCAAGGCTCTCTAGAGCACTAGCCTCTTCATGAAAAGCCTGTGTTTTGACGATGTGGAGAACGCACAGCCTTAGTTGCAAACACTCCCGACAACTCGCAGCACATCTCAGTCAGGGCTGTCAGCAGAGGCACAGAAGGGCTGAGCTTGGGTGTTTGACTTTTATTCCCTATTTGCAATCAGGGTGGCAATTTCAAACCCAGCCAGAAGGGCTTTGTTGGAGGAGCCAGGCCCGTCACAGACCTCGGCAGCTGGGAGAGGCACACCAAGGGCATCGGGCAGAAGCTTCTTCAGAAAATGGGCTACGTGCCTGGCAGAGGCCTGGGGAAGAATGCTCAAGGTACGTACCTTTGCCTGTCACATTTGCCCTGATGCACAGGTGACTGTTAGGGAGACTCCGAAGGAAAGGAAAGGCAAGGCAAGTTATTTTCTGCCTGCTTTCCTTCCTCATTGCATATTGGCAAAAACTTTGCAAACCACACATCTGTCCATTAACGCCACAAATCAGAATTGTACAAACGAGGTTGCACGTTACCCGTGTAGTCCATTTGTTAAGAACATAAGAAAAGCCATGCTGGAGCAGACCAACGGTCCGCCCTGCCCAGCACTCACACACGTGGGGCAAACCAGGTCGCTGTTGACCTGCCTGGACGATTGGCCCAGTAGTCGCACACAGGGGGCACGTGGAATGTTTCCGACTATCCCGGAAAGCAGGTGGGCATTCCTGAAGCTATGCCGGCATCCCTGCCTGGGGCAAACGGTGAGCGGCTGTCCCTGTGGGGCGAACTGAAGCAGCCGCATTGCAGTGCTGTTCCCAGAGCACGGCAGGGGACGCCATGCTGTGGGGGAGCAGGAGGATACCTGGGGCGTGAGCAGGCCAGGGAGGACTTGCACTGCCATTCGGCCGCCCCACCTCCCTCCGCTGCAGGGTTGATTCTCCTGCGGTCTCCTGCTCTCTAACCCCCGTGATCTTCTCCAGGTATTATCACCCCTATCGAGGCCAAGCAAAGGCGAGGCAAGGCAGCCATAGGGGCATATGGCTCAGAACGAACCAGCCAGTCGCTGCAGGACTTCCCCGTGGTCGACTCTGACGAAGAGGCGGAAGAGGTACGACGCCCGCACGCACACTGGTGCTCCCTTTCTCGCCGTGGGCCTGGGAAGGGGGCACCTTGCCAGCTCAGCTGGGCTCCTGACGTTCCCCTGTCCTGCTGCGTGAGCGACTGTCTCTGGCGATGCAGCCGAGAGATTTCTGGCAAAAGCTCCTGATTCAGAAGAGGGCCGGGCTGCCAGTCCATGGCCAGTGGCCCCTTCTCTCTTCCTGTCACAAACATGGAAACGGGGCGTGCAAAGAAGTTCCCGGAACCTGAACTGCGTTTCTTCTGTGCACCGGCAGTTCTAGCCACGCCGTAGTCTTGGGCACAGTCAGTAGAGCGCCTGCCTGGGAGAGGGCCAGAGTTGCTCGGCCCGCCTGCCCGTGTGGGTGGCTCTCTGCAGCAACCCCCTCCTGTTGCTGGGGGTGGCCCGTAAGAAAGCGAAGCAGCCTCTTGCACCTAATGCCGGCACATTCCCTGCTCCTCCCCTGCAGCCTCCCGCAGATGGTGTTCTTCCCCCTGTGGAAGACGGCCTCTGCCTCAGGCCCAGCCCCTCTCCTCTCCTTCCCTCAGGAATTCCAGAAGGAGCTCAGCCAGTGGCGGAAGGACCCGAGCGGGGGCAAGAAGAAGCCCAAGTACTCCTACAAGACGGTGGAAGAGCTGAAGGCCAGGGGCCGGGCAGGCAAGCAGCTGTCGGCCCCTCAGAAGGAGCTGGCACCCGTGAAGGTATGGCCGAGGTCGCAAGCGGGAGGGGGCTTGGCCTTTTCCCTGAGAACGGGAGAAAGAGAGCGCAGTGCGCATTTGTAACGCATCCCTCTTGCGTGGCAAACAAAATGACAAAAAGCGAGCCTGGAAGGCTGCTCCTCAAGCAGGCCAAAAGCGCCCGCTCGGAAGGGCCCAAGCGCCTCGCCAGGGCTCCACGTGCAGGAACCCTCTTCCCAGGAGCAGCTGCCTCTGGGCTCCGGCCAAGGGAGAGAAGGGAGGAGCCGAACAGCCCCAGGTGCCACATTCGGGCCAAGAAGCACGGCTCTCGGGGATGCCGAGCCCTTGCTGGGGACTGCAGCACCCCGACAAAGAGCGGGTGGCACTTTGCGCGCAGCAAGAGGAGCTCTCTCCCCAGCCCAAGGGGACCTGCCATCTGACCTTGGCCATGGCGGTCCCAGGAGGGGAAGACGTTGGGGTGGAGCCACGATTGTGTGAGGGGGGGTGAAGCGTGCAGGTGCGTGTCAGGAGAGCGGATCACGGGGCTGTCAGTGGGAATCTCTGGGCGGACCAAGCTAGCATTCTGAATAGGCAGAGGTAGGCCCGGCCTCAGGATTCCGCCTGCTTGAATTCTCTGGAACCGAAGCTACCGCCTGCTCTGACAGCAGCCGAAATTAGCCCTTCGGAAGGTGCTCTTCCCCCTTGTTGTGTATTTGGTGCCCACTGACCCACAAGGCGGCCGTCGCCGGTGTGAACTGCCTGCGTTGTGGGTCTGTGCCTTCCCGCGGCAGGTGATCGACATGACCGGCCGGGAGCAGAAGGTGTACTACAGCTACAGCCACATCAGCCAGAAGCACAACATCCCCGACGAGGACTCTCAGCAGGGCCCGCTGGGCAGAGACGCCAAGGTGCAGGCGTTCGCCCTGCCCGAGCTGGAGCACAACCTGCAGCTCCTCATCGACCTGACGGAGCAGGAGATCATCCAGAACGACCGGCAGCTGCAGTACGAGCGGGACATGGTGGTCAACCTGAGCCACGAGATCGAGAAGATGGCCGAGGTCCTCGCCCAGGAGGAGGCGGACATCCGCAACCTGGGCAAGGTGCTGGAGCTGGTGGAGGAGTGCGAGAGGCGGATGCAGCCCGGCTGCGAGGACCCCCTCACACTGCCCGAGTGCGCCAAGGTCTTTCAGACCCTCCAGGACAAGTACTTTGAGGAGTACCGGATGTCTGACCGCGTGGACCTGGCTGTGGCCATCGTCTTCCCCCTGGTTAAGGACTACTTCAAGAACTGGGACCCGCTGAAGGTGAGGGGTGGCGGCAGTTGGCCCCCCCAGGGGTGTGGCAGGAGCAGGCAGGCAGAAGGCTCCCCTTCGCCCCTTTTTGCTCTACGCTTGCGAGCATAACACGCGTTTCGGTGTCTGTGGGCTCCTCCTCTTCTCAGGACTGCACGTACGGCACCGAGATCCTAGCCAAGTGGAAGGGCTTGTTGGAGAACGATCAGTTACTCTCGCACGGTGGGCAGGACCTCGCCTCGGACGCGTTTCATAGGTGAGAGGGCCGTCGGGGCACGGAAGGGCGGGCGCGGCTTCCCGAGGGAGGCGGGCGCCCAGAGCGGCCCCTGCATTGGGCTCCCCGGGACATACCCCGCCCTCCCGGCAGGACAGTGGGGAGCGCCTCCCCCCAAGGCCGCGTGGGCAGCCCACTCCGTTTGCCGGTGGGAAAGGCCCCGACCCCCCAGCAGCCTCCGGGCGGCCACACGCCCTTGCCATCCCGCAGGACAGAGACCGGCAGAGAAGCGGTCCCAGCTTTCCCGCACTTTGTGCGGTAATCCGGGAAAGGAAGTCCGGCAAGCGGCAGCCGATGAAATGCTTCGGCCTCCACGGGAGGAGCCAGCGTGGCTGTGGCTCGGCTGCCCCCGCTCAATCGGGACCTGTGCTCCTCCAGGCTGATGTGGGAGACCTGGATGCCGTACGTACGGAGCGCCGTGGCACAGTGGCAGCCTCGGAATTGCATCCCCATGGCAGACTTCCTCGACAGCTGGGGCCACATCATTCCGGTGTGGATCCTGGACAACATTCTGGACCAGCTGATCTTCCCCAAGCTGCAGAAGGAGGTGGGGGCGCAGTGCGAAAGACCCGGGGCGGCGAGGAGTGCGGCTCTGCCTGCCCCACCAGCCCGCTGGGCCGGGGAGGCTGTGCTCACTGGAGCCCCGACTGCCTCCCCCGGGCTTACGTTTCGCTCCGCTCCCAGGTGGAGAACTGGAACCCGCTTACCGACACGGTCCCCATCCACTCCTGGATCCACCCGTGGCTGCCGCTGATGCAGGCCCGGCTCGAGCCGCTCTACTCGCCCATCCGCAGCAAGCTGTCCAACGCCCTGCAGAAGTGGCACCCCAGCGACTCCTCCGCCAAGCTCATCCTGCAGCCCTGGAAGGAGGTCTTCACCCCGGGGTCGTGGGAGGCCTTCATGATCAAGAACATCGTGCCCAAGCTGGGTGAGCCGGGGCCCGTCGAGCCCCCCCTGCGAAGCGGGGTGGTGGGGGGAGCAGGCAGGGAGCCTCCTCCCAGGTGTGGGTGGGCCCCGAATGGTGCCCACAGGCGGAATGTGCGCGAGTGCCTCTCGCCCGGCCAGTGCGGCGGAGGAGCGGTGCCTGTCGCCAGAGGACGAGCGAGTGGCAGCACGCAGCGCTCTCTGGAGCTGGCTTGGCCAGCGGGCGGCTGCCTCTTGGTGATGCTCTGGCCGGCCGGCCGCCTGCTGCCGATACGGGGCGGGGGGCGGCCGGCCGAGCCGTTGCTGAACGGCTGCCGCCCACCGCACTCGCCGCCACCCGCCGGCTTGGCTGCTCTGAGCAGCGGGAAGAGGCAGCCGTGGCCCACGGTGGGGGGCAGGCTGAGCACCCCTGGCCCAGGGAGCCGGGAGGGGGGCCGAGGCAAGGCCGAAATCGAGGTCGTGGTGGGAGGGGCGAGGGAGGCGCTGCTGTGCCCACCCCGCCTTTTGGGGGTCCTCACAAGCGGGAAGGAGGGAGATGGACGCCGTTCCCACATTGCCCCCGCAGGCCTCAGCCTGAACGAGCTGATGATCAACCCGCACCAGCAGCACATGGACGCCTTCTTTTGGGTGGTGGACTGGGAAGGGATGATCTCCGTCTCCAGCCTGGTGGGCCTCCTGGAGAAGCACTTCTTCCCCAAGTGGCTGCAGGTGCGCGATCCCGGGAGCTGCCTGTGAAGGGGCTGTGGAGCCTGCGCCCAGGCCTTCCTCGTGTGCAAAGGGGCTTCGCTCGGGAGAGGGGGGTGCCCCGCCCGGGGAGCCTGAGCTGCCGGGGCAGCCGCCGTGCCGTGCCGCCCGCCACCTCCCGCTGCCTGCGCTGGCAGGGACGGTCCGGGGTTGGGGCCGGTGCTTCTCATCACCGCTGGACCTGTTCTCCATGACACTTGGAGGGGTGGGAGTGTTCGGGGCCCCCATCGTGACCTGCTCTTGCCCTTGGCGGGGTCACGCACCGGTCCTCCAGCAGCAGCCCAGAGAGGGGCTGCCATGGGCCCCAGCTGCGAGAGGGCCCAACGGGGCAGGGACTGAGCCTCACATCGCTGCCACCCCCCCCCCCCCCCCACAGGTGCTGTGCTCCTGGCTCAGCAACAACCCCAACTATGAAGAGATCACCAAGTGGTACTTGGGCTGGAAGTCCATGTTCTCGGACCAGGTGCTGGCTCACCCCTCCATCAAGGAGAAGTTCAACGAGGCCCTCGACATCATGAACAGGGCCGTCTCCTCCAGCGTCGGTGCGTAAGCGGCCCCCTTGCGTGCCTGACCCTTGCTAGTTTGGACATGTCATTCAGCCTTGTCCAGGGAGCTGTTTGGGTCATGCCAGGACGCCTCGTTTTCCTAACCCTAACCCTACCCTGGTGCACACCCCTAACCCTAATATGGGGCTACAGTTCCATTGAAAAGAGGGC